ATTCTGTTATTCTTTGTCCATTCTTTATTCACTCGATGATGGATAGTTGAAGTATTTCCAGATTTTGGCAATTGTAAATAAAGCTGCTATAAACATTTATTATGTACAGGTGTTTGTGTATATACATATGTTTTTATTTATCTTATATAAGTACCTAGAAGTTGGGTTGCTGGATCACATGGTAAGTGTATTTTTAACTTTATAAGAAACTGCCAGACTGTTTCCTTAAGTGGCTGTACCTTTTCCATTCCTACCACCAATGTATGAGGGTTTTAGATGCCCCTCATCCTTGTCAACACTTGATATTGATGTTTAGCCATTCTAGTAAGTTTTGTACTGGTGTCCCATTGTGGTTTTACTTTGCATTTCCCTGATGGCTAATAATGTTGAACATTTTTTCATATGCTAATCTTTCATCCTTATCTCCTTTGTTTTTGTTTTTATTGCGTTTCGAGAGTTCTTTATATATTCTGGATACACGTTCATCATCAGATAAATATTTTGCAAAAATTTTCTCTCACCTTACAGGGTGTCTTTTTATTTTCTTAATATTGTGTTTTGAAGAGCAAAATTTTTTGTTTTAATTAAGTGAAGTTAATTAAATTGCATTTAATTAAATGGTTTGTGTTTTATCTAAGATATATGCCTAATCCAAGATTACAAAGATTTTTCTCCTATGTTTTCTCTAGAAGTTTTATAGTTAAAAGTTATACATATGTCATGACATATATCATGTATAATATATAAATATAAATATTCACTATAAAATAATAAACATCTTGAGTGGTGGGTCTGCATTTTTGTTTTTAATATCTTCATTTGGTTTTGGTATCAGGGTAATGGTGGCATGATAATATGAGTTGTTGGTCTGCTGATGCCTGTCAAAGGAATCGGTATCTGTTACCATTGATCTGATATCATGTTTTATTTCTAGTACTTCCATTTGTTTTCTCTTTGCTGAAATTCCTTATCTGTCCTTGTTGTTTTACAATAGATATTTTAACATATTAATCATAGTTATTTCAAAGTCCCTTTGTTTTAGTTCCAATATCTGGGTCTAAGTCTGTTTTAGTTGATTACTTTTGCTGTTTACAACGGAGTTGTTTGCTTGCTTGCCTTTTTTGGTACCTCTCTTTAACAATGTTGTATATTGCATATATTACAGGAAAAGATACTGAGGTAAATAATTTTTATGTTCAGATACGAACAGGCCATTAACATGAAGATCATGCAAATCTGGTCAGCAGTTGAGTTAAATTTTGATTTTGTTCCTTTAGGACACCACAAGCTTCATTTTCCATGGTAGTAAGCGGCAGCCACTTTGTGTTGAGAGTGGGGCTTTGGGTTCTAGAGGTTTCTTCTCTGTCATTCTGCTCCTTCCTCAGCTTTGGATAGTCGTATGCCTTGCAATAGCATAAGGTTTCTCTCTATGCTTTTGCTCCACTGCCCAGCAATAGACTATTGTTGTTTGATACTTGGAGATGGGCATATAGTTGAGGGTGGGAGACAGGTCTCTGTTGTCTTCATCCAGCCTCAGTCTTGGGCAAGACTTGTGTATCAAGGCCTTGAGGTTAGGGCATTCTCAAGACCTGTGTATCAAGGCCTTGGGGTTAGAGCATTCTCTAGCTGTGCCACTGAGGGGATGTTCTTGTTTCCTGCCTGCCCCCAGTGTTTTCTTGGATGCACCTGGTGGAGGCCAATGGAAAAGAGTTTGCAGTGAATGCAAACTTCCCTAGTGTTTGTGGCACATAGCTATTCTAAATTTACGTGCTAGCCCATACTTGACCTTTAAGAATTAGTTAAAATTTTAGCTGATTTCCTCTTACTGCCTTACATTAATTACAGCAATGCATTTTTACCATGCTCTGCCAAAAAAGAAAAGTATCCTGTCTCTCCTTGGAGGGATGTGTCACACTTGAGAATTTAGTTTACTTTGTTGCCTTGTTACCTCAAATCTCTGATGGGCTCCAGAAGTTATTATTTTATAGATTATCTGGCTTTTTCTTGTTAGAGTGGGAACAATATTTTCTTGTGGCTTTCTACATCCTATGATGAGGGTATTTTATTAATATAAATAAATTTTTATAAATAAATTTGCCATATTTACTAATGAAGTCAGTGAGATTAATGAGACTGCTTGGATTAACCCCCAAAATGTAGTCAGGGGAATGGATGACTATTATAGGTTTATATCATCTTTGGCATACTGTGAAATTAATAGTTATAGTGCTTCCTTGGAAACCTTTTTAGGAAATATAAGAGCAGAGTATTTTTTAATGGGAAGAGAATATTGTGAGATGGGGGGAGGACAGAAAATGGTGAAAATAAAAAAGTAGAGGATGTGAATACATTAAATTGAACTTCATCTTTTTTTATTATTCCTTGACTTTCTACTTTTTAATATTCATTTCTATCACTTTGCCTATTTTCTAGTTTTGCCTATAGTCAACCCCAATAAAGGATATATTATAAATTTTTTAAATGTGTCATTTTAAAGTAATAAATTAGTCATTTCATTTAACCATTCTCTTAGGCCACTAAGAAATACTAAATGGTAATATATGAATTAATATTATAGTGACTGAAAATGAAAAATATGCATTACTTACAGTGAGGAAATGAAAGAACAAGTGGGAATTTTAGAACCTGTTGGTACTTACTTGTCACCATGGATTAAAGGTAAGTTTAGGTATAAATTAAGTGCTACTTTCAGCTGTTACTTTTGTGCCATTTCATTATAAAGCTTTCTTTCCTTTAGGAAAAGTTCTTGACAAACATGCCACCCAAAATCAATAATTTTATTAATTTCAGTGAAGAAATTAAAGTTCAACCGAGTCAGTTCAGAGAATCTGTAGAGGCAAATGGAAGGATTTATGAGGAACAGAGAAAGTTAGAAGAAAGTTTTACCATTCACTTAGGTAAGTGTTTTAATTTTTTGCAGTCATAATTTTTTGAAACTTGTGAAACTTTTTTTATGCTATAAGAGAAAAATTCCTAGCGCATGAGTAGGATATACCCATGTTATTTTTAATTACAGTATTCTGCTCCAAGAAAGCCTATAGTTTGTTGGCTGTATGTTTTCTGTTTTAGCTTAAATATTATTTTTTGCAAATAGAAAGATTAAATATTAAGTTATTAAAATAGGAAATCACAAGGCCCATTTTTAATCATTTGTAGCACAGATTTATTTGGATTCTTGTCACAGAGATTTGCACCCTGTTATACTGAATTTTTGCAGCTAAGTATCTTTCTGGGATTGTTGCCTGCCCCCTAGGAGCCCAGTTGAAGACCATGCATAATTTGAGATTGCTGAGAGCAGATATGCTGGATTTCTGTAAGCATAAAAGAAATCATCGAAGTGGCGTGAAACTCCATCGCCTTCAAACAGCTCTATCACTTTATTCCACATCTCTCTGTGGCCTGGTTTTACTAGTAGATAATCGAATCAATTCATATAGTGGTATTAAAAGAGGTAAGTTAACATTATACATATTTATTTCATTGAATTTCTCCTTTTAATACTGTTCTAACAAAGGAATTAAATTATCGAAAAATTGAAAAAAAATTTAATCACCTCAATATTCAAGTAGATAAACAATTCACATACCCAGCCACAGCTATTTTAGGTTTGCTTCGTACTTTAGCATGTGTACAGTGCTTCAGGGTATTTAATTTTTCTTAAAATTCTATTATATTGTAAATAATAGAGTCCTTGTTTCAAAGTATAACAAACAGAATAATCAAGATATAAATGTAGTTTTCAATTTAGAAAGATTCTGGCTCAGTGAATTTTAATTCATCCATTTGTCCTTTTTGTTTTTTTTAAATAACCTGTTTCTTAAATGTGCTAGGTAAAATTCTACCTTCCCTCATAGTACAACTCATATTTTATGATTAAAAAGTCTTTTAAAATATAAAATGTATAACTTTTTAAAAGAAGTTTGGATTTATTTCCCATCATAAATAAAAGAAACTTCTTGTATTTTTTAGTGCTTTTTGAGATTGTGAGTTTTTTAGCACTTTTCAGGATTATGACACTGGATTATGATCAAAGTATATTATTTAAAGGAGGCTTGGACTTATATTAAAATTTCCTTGTCTATTAATTGTTTACTCTTTGAGTTATTGAAATATTATTTCTGATCAAAATAAAGTTGCTGTACCTTAACTTAATATGACATAATTATTGAAAGGACAAATATAAGAAATCATATTTGTGAATTTTATATCGTTTCACCAAATCTTCTTGTCTGTAAGTAAATAGTAAATACTTGATACTTCTTTAGAAGTTTGTAAATGTTTTGTGTTCCTTAGATTTTGCCACAGTTTGCCAAGAATGCACTGACTTCCATTTTCCCCGAATTGAAGAGCAACTAGAAGTTGTCCAACAGGTGGTACTTTATGCTAGAACCCAGCGCAGGAGTAAGTTGAAAGAATCACATGGTCAGTAAAATTCGAATTTTAAAAAATTTGACTTTCAGTATGTTCTGTCCCTAAGCACTCTAATAGCATATGGGCCATCATTGAAATACAGAAAATTTTATTAGTAGAAAGGTGGAAGAAAGAAATTAAGAACAAAAATCAAGATCTTTAGAAGCTTGGATTCTGTTCTTAATTTCCTTTTTTTTTTTTTTTTGCATGATCTTGTTCAAGATCCTTAGCCAAAACTGTTTTTAAATTTTAGTTCAATAGTTATACATAGGCACTCAGTGGAAAGTAGATGCTCTTTTGACCAAAGTTCTACATGTCCAAAATGGACTTAATTATTACTTCAGAGGGCATTGAAATCACGAAGTAAATAGTAGCACAAAATATACACTTTTTATATTTTTGATTCATTTAGGTAGCATGAAGTCAATTATAAGAATTGTTTTCAGTTGTTTCTTAAAAAATTACTGTGTCCAGAACTATGCCCTGCTTTTTCTGTTTCTAGCTACAATATGAACATCCTTTCTAACTATTTAGGGAATTTACTGGAGAATGATTTTTTAAAGCTTTGGAAAAAGTTCAAGGCATCTTTCTTCAGAAGATTTCGTAGAGAAACTTTAGGGAAGACATATGAAAAAGAAAACACTCTGAATCAAATTACAGAGTAATTCTATTTTTTAATTGAAAAATGAAAATGAAAATTTAAAAAGGATTTTAAAAAATTAAATTGGTACATTGTTGGAGCTAAAATAGGGTAATATTCAAAAATATGTATAATATGTGTTTTTCTGACATTTCATATATCACAGGCATAAAATCATAATACGTGTTCTTATCTGGCTTGAATACATACTTTGTATTTAATCATTTCATGTAAAAACTTGTTGTCCTGCCCAGGAAATAAAATATGGCAAGTGTTTAAGTCGTGGCTGGTCAGACCTTTAAATTTGCTTCTGGTTATTCGGATTTCTTTTTTGTTTGTTTTGCACCTACAGTGTTTAAAAGACATCGTTATAGGACTTTTGAGTCATATAGTAAACAAAGAGATACTGTTAAATCTTTGCTTGGTATCTTTGTTCTTCCATGTAAATTGTAGAATTGTTCATTTTCTCTTGATGCTTGAATGTAGACATCTAGACTTTACTTGATTAGCATTCACTATAGTTGCCTTCTTTATTCAATAGACTTTAAATAACATTCTATTTATTTTTAGTCATTTCTTAAATAGGTGAAACAATCTCAAGATTCACAATTCAAACTGTACAAAAGACCGTACAAAAGTCTTCGTAACCCACCAGCCATCCAGTTTCCTACCCTAGAGACAGCCAGTGCTATCTCACATGTACCTTCCAGACATATAAGAGCACCTGTATCTGTGTGTTTATTTTCCCTTTTACACAACTGGCAGCTTTCTCTGCACACTTTTATGTACACTGTTTTTTCCCTGAATAATTTAACGTGGTCATCATTTCCTATCAGTACATAAAGAGCATCTTCACACCTTTTTGCTGCTGAATAGTAGTCCATTGCAAGATAACCCATTATTAATCAGTTCCCTATTGATAGACATTTGACCTGTTCATTGTTTTTGTTATTATGAATAATAATGCATGAGTAACCTTGCACATATATCATTGTGTGTGTATGGCCACATCTATAGAATAGATGCCTAAAGAAATTCCTGGGTTAAAGGATACATATATTTATAATTTTAATAATGTTAGCAATTGCTCTCCATAGAGGCTTCCCCAGTTTATATTATTACTGTTAGTGACTGTGGCTTTGCTGTGGCAGTATGTGTCATATTTGACAAAAGCAGGCTGAGTACTAGGAAATCGGTATGGAACTACATCCTAACAAAGGATCATTTGGGAAATTCTAGTTTGTCCTCTTATTCATCTACCATTTTCTTCTGTCATCTCATTGAAACTAGCAATGATGTGATCAGTAACATTTTAATATTATTCTTAGTAGTGACTAAAGAAAGCATGAAGTTTGGCATCGTGACAGGTGTGGGAGGAGGATTCTAAGTATATTTATGAGATTTAGAAAGTGTGCAGTAAATGACAGGAAGTTTTTAAACCACATACGGTTAAGGCAGTGTGTGTACATCATGGTATTATTTTGTTCCTTTTCAAACAACCATTTTGTGGTTTAAGTGAGTCAGTGAAACAAGTAGGTTTATAAAGGACAACTTTCCTAACGGAAACCAGCATGTTGTTAATGAAGAATGTTGTGAACATACTTACTCCGTTTTTCCTTTTCTGTGCATGTTCACATATTTGCTCTACACATTTGTTCTACACATTTGTATCCTGATACAATAAAAATAATTTATTCTAAGACAGTCCATTGTTTTCTTTATTGTGTTTATTAACATCTTTATATTCCTACTAAAACAGTTTGTTTATTGTGCACATTTTATATACATTTTTTTAAAAATAAAAATAGCCAGTTTCTTAGTATTATAAGATGTTACCATTAAAATGTAGAAAGGAAAATGGACTATGAACTGTTCTCTCTTGTTTACTTAATAGGGATTCTGTTTGTTCATACCCCGTGTTAACAAAACTAAAGTCCTTATTTTTTGTTTTCCAGATCATGATCATTTAGTCAAAGCTTATCAATTACATGGCTCTGTTTGAGAAACTGTTACATTAAATATGGATTCTGGCAACACAGTCTTTGTGCCTTGCTCTCCCTCTCTGTCTCTTTAAAATATATGTTTAACAAGTTACAGTGTTATAAATCAATTTATCAAAGTAATCATTAGGTAAAAATATTGTTACTTTTATTCAGAACATTCTTGAAACCATAATATTCCCTTGGTATTTGCAATTTACTCTTTCGAAATTCAGACTCCTTTCAAGTGATTTTCTGATGCTAAAGGCCATTCCAGACAGTTTTGTATTTAATTGGAATAACTATTCAGCCTCTTACGGAGAGCTCCTTTAAATGCTCATATCCATTCTGTACTTTTTAATTCCGATAGAATTCTTATAAAATTCAAGTGTTATCTTCTATTAAATATATATATGTATGTAAAATAATGTGTAGTCAATTGTGATGTATCTTATTTTACTCACATTTATTTTTTTAAGTAATATATCTTCAAAAAGAAAAGAAAAAAATTATTGACTGAAAAAAAATGCTCCATTTGAAAGTCTCACATACCTATTTGAAATACATTATATATAATGTCAGATAAGAAGTGACAAATTTCAGGAATGGGCTGAATACAAGATTCCCGGTTCTACTAACTATTTGTTTGTAGTCCTGAACAAGTTATATCAACAACAGTGACTCAGATTCTAAAAATAAAGATGGCCACATGACAACTATCTAATGAAGTTATTTTATGTGTCATTAACTTAATGCCTTCAACCTCCCTGATGAAAAATAAGGTATTGGCAAGTCCAGTGTGGTTAAGACTATAAGACCTGGAATCTGAGTATGTGTGTTCAAGACCTGGTTCCACCACTTACCTGTGCATCAAGTTAGTTATCTAAGCCTCTGTTTCCTCACATATAAATGAAGTAGTATTAGTACTTACTTCATAAAGTTATGGTTATAGGCATTTTGTGAGAATGAAATGAGACCATTTATATAAAGCATGCATCAGAATGCCGGTAACTAGAGAGCCCTAGTAAATTTTTACTCTTGTGATTGCTTGTGGAGGAGGAGTAATGTGTTTTCATATGTGTCGTGTTCTTTCATGTTCCATTATCTTCTGAATAGAATCTGGGAACCGAAATGGAGAAAGTGATGATAAGACTAAAAATGCTGATAGAAACTATTTAAATATTTTGCCTGGTAAGTATTATTTTAAATTGCAATTTTCTCATAATCATATGCATTGAAATCATAGATTTGAAACATAAGTTCTTATGGTGTGCTTTATAAAAAGTTTATTAGTCTATCACTAATCTGTATAAGGTACTTTCACAGATGTTCTGCAATTTAAATCTTATACTAGTACTGACTTTTTTCTAGATGCGCACAAGAAAAATTGCTCAAGCAGTTGTATAGGTTTTATTGTTATTTGCTATTTCAGATTTTCTTTTTTATACATTGTTTGTTAAATGAACCAAGAAATAATTTTTACTCTGAATATGAACAATGGTACATAGAGATGCAAACAATTAAACTTGCAGAAAGAACATGGGTCATTTGAAAATCTTATTTCCATTTCCTCATAAATTTTCATGCTTTCTATATCTTTCATTTCTTTATTCTTGGATACATTGTTTATAAACAGGAAATTCAGTCTCTTGATCCTCTTTCAGATTGAATTCATTAGTAGTGTTTGTATGACAGGGCATAACAAGAAAGGCCTATTTGTTTATAAATGTAAAGTCTTTTAAACTAAATGGTAAATTTTGCAGTTTCTTAAATAACCAAGGTTGTTTCCTCACATTTCCTTCCCCAGATTTTCTACATGTAGGTCCCATTCCATGTAATCTAAGCAAATAGCATACTCATTTCTGATATTCATCTTGTCATTCAGTTAGCTTGTGGTTGTCAGCTTCCGAATTTCCTTCCACCTTCAGATATCCTACCTTAGTAGATAAAGTTAGAGGCAGGATTACATTACCACATGCTGTTTTCTTCACTTTGTGGAACAGGAAACTGTCTTCCTCTCCATCTAAAAATACCTTTATTGAGACAGGATTTATTGTGTTTTACTTTATAGATCCATTATTTAAATCATCCATATCTTGTGACTTTCTTAAAATGTGCCAGTCTCATTACCTATTCTGGAAGTACCAATGTCTGATTTTTTTTTAAACCTAACTCTTTATTGCTATATTTATTTTTTTCCTTGCTCCTTTTTTGAAAAAGCCTGTAAGTTCGTATGTTGTTATCACCACCAAATTAGGAAGATATGTCTTAAGTCTGTACTAGAAAAGGAATATTAAACTATTCAGTTAGATATGTCGATAGCATCTGAATTTCCATTTAGTTAAAGGGTGCTTACACAGCTAGGAAGTAAACAGAAGAGGATAAAAGATCCAAATCACAAGTGCTTTAAAATTTTTAAGTTGCAAAGTAAAACAGTTTTATTTCTATAATTTTTAACCATGCTTTGTCATTATCTAAATATTTACAGTCTATATAATCTAATTCTCACAATTTTGTGGGGAAAGCAGTCAGGCGTTATTTTTCCCATTTCATAAACTAAGTACAGAAGATCTATAAGTTGAATTGATTTAACCAAGATCACTCAACTGAAAAGTGCTAGAGACCACATCTTCTTAACACCTAATCTAGTCCTTTTTCTACTATGTTATGTTACTTTGATTACTACTGCCAGCTCCATGACCCCATTTTACTAATGGGGTAAAATGAGGCCAAGAGACAAGTCACTTAAGGTCAAACAAAGCTGTGCCAGTTTGGGGATTAGGAGCACCTGACTTGTTCAGTAAGTTATCTGCCTCACTAGCTCATATTTAATGCTGTGACTTCCATCACTAAATTATCAGTAGGAGTTTATGTCAGTAATGTACTTCACTGGGCCCAAAAGGATATCATCTCATAGAGTCTACCAGGTTTCTGATACGCTGTCTGTGCTTTTTATTGCCTTCCAGAGAAATTGTAACTATTCTATTTTTCATCAATTTTTATTTACTTATTTTTGTCTAGTTTATGTTGATATTTTTGTCACTATCTTTTAATTTCTTTTTCTGCTTATCTAATTTTTTCATCTTAAGTTAGAAACTAAAGGCCTTTGCCTGGGGCCTGTCAGTGGCATCCATGGGGTAACTTACATACACTGGTAACTAGAAATGGTTAAACATTGTGCTATAATATAGTAAGTACTTTTAACTATACTGTATGTTTATAAGTAAATATAAGTAAAATTCTGAGATAATGACTTTGAAGCAAAGAGAGGTAAGAAGAATCTGTGAGGGCAGGGGTTAGTGATAGAAGAGTATTTCTTAGAAGAGCACAGCTTTCCTAGAAAGATATATCAGAATTTCTAGGAAACCATGTGTATTTGTGAAAACATATTCTTTATATGTTTTATGTTTTGTTTATTTTTGAGGGGGAGGGCAGGGGAGGAAGTGGCTAGTGTGGTTACATAGAAAATGGAATGATTGTAGAAAGCATAGATTTTAAGGTTTGATAAATACTGCTCTAACATTCAATCTAAAACATTTGTTCATTCTTTTAGCAAATTTTTATTGACTACTTTCTATGTACCAGATACTGTTCTATGTGCTAGAGATAGAACATTAAACAAGATAGACAAAATTCCTGTAGTTATGGAGTGTAAACAATGGTCTCTTTAAAATAATCTCATAAACAAATAAAAGAATTTCGGTACTGAGAATAAAATAAAACAGAACAATGTGACAGAGAATAAGTGAGGGGTGAAGGAGTCCTCTATCAGACGGAACAGTCAAGGAAGACGTCCCTGAAGAGGCGACCTTTGATCTGAGACATAAGTGATGAAAAGAAGTCAGCCATACAAGACTCTTAGGGAAGCCTTTCACAAAGCATCTCTGTATTGAGAACAAGCTCTGCATGTTTGGAGAACATAACAAAAGCCTGCGTGACTGGCAAAAGGAGAGAGGTGAGACAAGAGGATATCAGACTGATAAGCGGTGTCCGGATCACACAAACCTTGCAGACCACAGTGAAGGGTTTGAACTTTTTTCTGAATGTAGTGTGAGCCTGTTGGACTTTAAGTAGGGGAGTGGTATAATCTGATTTATATATAAATCATTCGCTTACAATGTAGAAATGGTTTGTAGATGGGCAAGAATGGGAACAGATTAAGAAAACCTGTCACAAAAATCTAGGTGAGAGATGTTGATAGCATGAACTAGGGTGATAGCAATAAAAACGGAGTGCTCAGATTTGAGATATTTGTTGGAGATATTACTGAGTATAGATGGTTGTGAATGAGATTGGGGATTGGGGAAGAGGTTATTTAGAGAAAAAAAGTAATGAAGGGCAACTTCTATCTTTCTGTCCTAAGCAACTAACTGGGCAGAGATTGACGCATAAACTGAGATGGAGAAGAGCAGATTTAGGGTATGGGGATAACAGGTAATCAAGTAACCTGTTTTTACATGTTAAATTTAAGTTGGACATTTTGAATATTCACATCAAAATAGAGATGATGAGTACTCGTTTGATTTACTACTTGGTGGTCACTTCATACCAATTTATTAACCTAATGCAAAATTGGCTACTGTTTCTTTCATCACCTTCTTTCTAAGAATTAAGATGCAGTAATCATATTTGCTTCCTGAGCCTGACATTGATTCCTGATACACCTCTTTGTTCGACACATCGACTGCCCATTACAGTTATTTATAAAGTCCATTGATGACTGTGGTTTATGCATTTGAAAGTTACGATTGTATTTGTTGTTCACAGGAGAATTTTACATTACACGGCATTCTAATCTCTCAGAAATCCATGTTGCTTTTCATCTTTGTGTGGATGACAATGTAAAATCTGGAAATATCACTGCTCGTGATCCTGCCATTATGGGACTCCGAAACATACTCAAGGTTTGCTGTACCCATGACATCACAACAATAAGTATTCCTCTCTTGCTAGTGCATGATATGTCAGAGGTGAGCATGTAGAAAAATACCATAATTCTATGAATATGTTAACCCTCTATATTGTATGCTAATAATAATAATTTATTTTATGTTTTAAAAACACTTTTGTTTTTACTAATGGACCTTCGCCTCTCTTACCTAGTTAATAGAATTGAGTGGCATATAATATGAAACTGAATAATCCTTAACCATTTATGTTCAGAGAATTAGAGCATTATTCTATAGTAGATAAACTAAAAAATCAAAGTTATTTTTAGCTTTGTATAAAGCATATAAAGCA